ATAAAATGCACCCAGGGAAGCAGATGGAGCTAATATTCCTAGATGCACAGAAGGCTTTTGATAATGTAAATTGGCAATTTATGATTCAACAAATAAACGAAATAGACTTTGGAGAAAACTTTATAAATGTAATTTTAAAATATTATCATAGACAAATAGCTAAAGTAATTGTAAATGGAGTTTTACAGACAAATTTTAATTTTAAAAAAAGGGACAAGACAAGAATGCCCATTATCCCCATTATTATTTATATTAACAATAGAAGTATTGAATAGAAATATTAGGCAAAATTCAGAAATCAAAAGAATGGAGATAAAAGATGAAAAATACAAACTACAAAGCATTCACGGATGACTTGTTTTTTATATTAGAAGAGCCGCTTGTGACAAGCCTCAAACTTCTGAAAAAGATAGAAGAATTTGGAGAAGTGGCAGGACTGAAAATAAATACAGAAAAGCACAAAGTGATAACCAAAAACCTTACAGATAAACAAACAAAAAAAAATCAACTGTCATAAAAAACAGATCTTCAAATAGTTAAGGATGTTAAATACTTGGGGATACACTTAACAGCAAGATGTGCAACAATAAAAGAAAATAACTATGTAAAATTATTAAAACAAATAAAACTAGACTTGGAAAAATGGAAAAATCTACAACTTTCAATGTTAGGGAGAATAGCAATGGGGAAAATGAATATTTTAGCAAAATTACTCTTTTTATTTCAAACAATACCTATAAAACTGGAAAAAAATTATTTGATAAACTAAATACATTGATCTTGAAATTTATTTGGCAAGGAAAAAAAGCCAGAATTAGTTTGAAAATGCTACAAGAAGCGAAAGAAAATGTATAAAGCCTATCAAGCATCTGTATTAATATGGTTAAAAGAATGGATAATCCTTAGACATAAAAGATTACTATACTTAGAAGGGTATGACCTACAACTTGGATGGCATGCCTTCCTATGGTATGGGAAAATAAAATATATAAATACTTTCGAAACCACTATATAAGAAACACGCTTCTTCTAGAATGGGAAAAGGTAAAAGTGAAAATTTATATGAAAATACCTGGATGGCTTTCAACAATGGAAGCATTTGTTCACCGAAACCCAATTAACTATGAGAAAATTGTGACCTATAAAGACATTTTGAATATTGAAGGGAAACTAAAATCTAGACAAGAACTGGAAGAACAGGACATTGATTTATCATCTATCATTGATCTGCAAATTTAAACGAGATATGAAAAAGATGCTAAAACATCTGTTTTTTTAAAGAACAGACAGAATTTGACCAGATGCTATTGGCATCAGATGAAAAATTGATTAAAAAACTGTATAAGTATATGTTAAGTTTAAAGGTGGAAGAGGAACAAGTAAAAGAAACAATAATAACACGGGCAAAAAACTTTGGGCACAACATAGAGTTAGAAAACTGGCAAAGCCTTTTGGAAAGAAACTCTAAAATAACAAAGGCAGTGGATTACAAAGAAAACCTATATAAAATGTTTTACAGATGGCACTTACCACCTGAGGTTAGCAAAAATGTTTAAAAATATGTCTAGCAATTGTTGGAAATGTAGACATAAACATAAATGTAGACATAAACCATATTATCATCTTTGGTAGACATACCCTAAAGCCAAAAGATTTTGGTCAAGAATACATATATGGCTAGAGAAAATGATAAAAAACCATGTAGATTTTAAGCCAGAATTATTTTTGTTAGGTATAATTGTAGGAAATTATGAGAAAGAATGTGTATATTTAATGTTAAATGTACTAACTGCAGCAAGAATTGTATTTGCTTAACACTGGAAAGATGAAGAATTACCAGCAGAGGAAGAGATAATCAAGAAAATTTTGGACTGTGCAGAAATGGACAAACTTACATTGAAAATGAAAGAGAAAGACGATTCAGAATACTTCAGAACATGGGATACATTTTATCAATGGCTAGATAAACAAGGTAGAGAGAAAAGAGTTTAACATGTATTAGTAAGCTAAATATTGGAACCCAGATAACATATTGCTTATAAAATATTAAGGATTTGTGATGATAAAAAATTGTTAAAAAAACAACTCAGGGCTGAGTTTAACGACAGGATGAGCGTGGGGTAGTAGAAAATCAGCATCTTATATTTAAAATATACATATTTTCTAATGTGTATAGAATACATATTATTAGTGTAAACTAACACTGGTTAGCTGCAATAGCCAAAATGCCAAATTTTATTTTTCATGTTTCTATGCAATATACCTATTTAATACAATGAAAAAAAAAACATTTTTCCCCAAAACAAATAAATAAAAAAAAAACAAAAAGGCTCATAGATACAGAGCAGCTTAACTAAATGTAGCTACATTTTGTTAAGGGATCTGAGGGAGCTATGAAATGGAATTTTAGACTTGTCAACTAATGGAAATTATTTAAAAAGTGGTTGTGCAAATATATTGGTTGGAAACTACTACAGTTCTGCCTTCCATCACTGCAATTAAATGTCAAAACGAAACACCAGGAGGAAAGAAACCCACTTTTTGTATCAGAAGGCATGGGCACCAGGGACTCTTATGGTGAGATGTGTAGTACAAAAGTATAACACTTATCCCTTTGGAACAATACGCTCAGAAAAAATAATTTCTAAACAAAATTCCAAGAATGAGATAGAAATTCCAAAGCCTAATTTGAAAGGACATTTTTCAAGAAACTGAATGTTAGTTACTTGATATGTTCTATCTAGTGTAACAGTATCACAAAAGAGTAACAAGTGGTTGTATTTTTACTGATTCACATCCATGAATTGAGCATAGTCATGACTGGATTGAACAGATTACACATATAGACTTGACTTTAAGCTAGTCAAGGGATGAGAGCAATACACAAGTCATTGCTGTACTAACCCATGATGTACTATGCCCATAACCCATGATTATAGGCCATGTCCTGGAAGTCATTTGTAAGGGCATATAGTAACTGAAAGTTTTGTTTCATGCATGGTTGGAAGTCCAATGAGGCCAGCTTGAGTGCATAGTGGCCCAGGTGAACTGAAGCCAGGAGGGCCTGATTGTTCCATTTTTAATCTGAGGAAAATCCAGTAAGGTTCTATGGACAAAGAAGATGCTAGTGTATCTTGCCACTTTGTCCTTCTCTTCTACATGGTCTCTATACCAACCCCTGTAGTACAACTCACCCTCTAGTTAATTTTCCCAATACTTTTGCTGCAATAGTTGCAACCTTTGATTAGCAGGTTGCAGAGGAGGGGCAAGCATAGGTGCTGCAAAGATTCCATCTTTCCTGTTCCTCAGCTAGAACATCCCAGGGAATGTTTTCCTTCCATCTTCTTCTGCACCAGCTGGCTGACTTGGTTATGTCCTGGGATGCAAGCTGATGATGCTATTTTACCCATTCCTTCAGAACTGGCTGACCAAAGCTTCTTATCAGCATGTGCTAGGGGAGCTTCTGGGCCATGGCTTCCAAGCTGCATCTTGCCTGAGGGTCCCTTGATACCCACTAGGGTTCAAGGCCTTCCAAGCTGCTTCAAATTGGATGACATTCTTGCTTTGGTGAATTAGATTGCACCCAGTGACCTGAATTGCTATTACTTTATGGATATATAACATAAGAATCAGAACTGTTCTTTTCAACTGTCTGCAGATTCTACCCTCCCTTTGCCCTTTAACCAAATCTGCACTCATTTTTAGGATAACAAAGTGATCTGTTATTGGCTCAGTTTAAGTTACAAAAAGAGGTTCCACTAATGCCTCCAAAAGGCACACCTTTTGAATCTGCCATTTGTTTCAGTTTGCTGATAAAACTATTTTGTACTTGATAGATGGACTGCAAGGCAAACATTTCCATGGAGATAAGACCATTTGGAACTGGAGGAAAAAAACCTAATTGCCAGATATGTGTTTCATTAATGAGTCTGATAACCTTTTGTCCAGCAAGAGATTTTCACAAGAACACAGATAAAGTCTCCACTAATCAGTGAATCACTATAGGATATCTTGCCTTATTTCTCACTGTCTTATGGAAAGATAGAAAAGTCATATGATGTATGTAATCTCGTTTTCACACAATTCATCTTGCAAAAAAGGGAACAAAACTACACTTTCACCAAAGATGTAGCTTCACAGAAATAAAAAATTTGGTACTGCAGTTACTGATCTCACTCAGCCCTAATTAAAAAGACCATAATTTCTGTCTACTATATTCAAATCATGACATTATTCTTAGAATAACTCCATAGAGTTGCTGATTTCATTTCAATCCATGGATTACATAGAAAGTAACATTAGTAATCCATTGCAGTAATTGAATTTTTATGAAGTATATGAAAACCACCATGATTTTTTTTATTAGTGACCGATACATGTCTCTGTCACTTAACATGGTCCAACTCAAGCATTTTATTAATGCAGAAGTTTTCCTGAATGCACTGGAGGTTGTCTGTCAGTGATACTGTTGAAGCTTCAGTGAACTGTTGAAATGGAAACAGCTTAGGTGGTTAAATGCTATTACTTCTAAATGTTCTTTACTTCCAAGGTAAAATTCTCCATGCCTTATTAAGATCTGAGAGCGAGCAAAAAGACAAGACTGGAAATAGTTGTCCAGGACTATTGCATTCAGCTATGATTTCTTGAGAGAGGATATACCAAACCTTCTTCCAGGCTAAGGAACAACTTCACTCAAGAAAATTGACATAACTGCATCAACCCAATCTTGAGTTGCAATATCCAACTCAAGTTGGCTTGTGATGAATATTTGCCTTATCAAAATGTTTAATTTCTCTCTCTCTGTATCTGTATCATCTATCTCTGTTTCTTTCTTTCTCTCTCTTTCATCTTCTGGAAGAAAATGCAAGATGAAAATGGTGAGATATTACAAGGAATTGGTTATAAACTTCAAATGAAAGCTTTTCAAGAAAGCACAGGTTTGTATTCTTCTATTATATAGAATAATTATATTCAACTTTCATAAGAATAAGACAAAGGAATAAACGTGATTTCAAACATTTTTATTTTTAACAGTACTACATGGTGTCTTACAGAAATCAATGGAAAATCTCTAAAAATTTCTTCTGATGAATGCATTATACATAAGGGGAAAGAAGATGTTCAACAGATGTTAACAAATGGTTTTCCTCTGAGGTAAAGTTAAAGTAGATCTAGAAATGTACTGCAAAACAGTCATTTTCATCTTTCTTCTATTAAAAAATAAACACGTGAGAACACAAAAATCAAACAAATCAAAGTAGAAAGTAAACATCTTTGCAAAGAAGGTGCCCAGTACATTATTCAATTATAAATTTCATCAGACATTTGAATGACAACAATGAATCAAAGTACATTAATAACGTAAGAAACAAGAAACAATTGGAAACAGGACAGGATGGGATGATTCTCCCTGGTTTAAAGTTTAAAGTGACAAGCTTCGTGCTAGTGATGAATGGATTCCTGTAGATATATTTCCTATCTACAATACTTGTATAGTGCAGCTTCTGTATTGTTTTTCTTCTAGATTATGGTAGAAAGGAATAATCTAATGATGGATAAGTTAATCATGGGTTGTTTTATTTCAAAAGACTTTTGGTTTGTATAGAACAAATTTCCCTATGATCTCTAAATCCCAGTTGTAATTCATATACATGAACTTTCCCATCTTGGTAAGTACTTTGGAACCCAATAACAACCATGAACTGACTGTTAGTCTGCACCACGCTACAATATCTGTGAATATTTTATTTTTTTGTGTTTAAATAAAAACTTAGTTCAGAAAGATTTCACTATTGACTATACATCAATGTTTCAGGGTTGAAATGTCCTTTTGTATGATGTCATCTTTTTTCGTAGGAAACAAACGAACTTAACATTTTATATGTTACAAAAGAGATCACTTTTTGCATTTTTCTTTTGATCCACATTTGCGACAGAGATGCTGACAACGACTACAACATGGATGAATATTTTAGGCTGGGAAAAGGCTTGTGCAGACCCAGGCCATCTTCACCTTTCACAGATATATAGTGATGATCAAGTAAAAGTTAAAATAAATTGATTTGTGGGTTGGATAAAAACAGGCTGGGGAAAGGAGAAATGAAGAAAAACAAATTGACTTTAACAAAAATGTTAATTTTTATTTTGGGCACAACTACTTTCTGCTTTAATTGGACTCAATTTCTCTTTTGTTTCTCTTTCACATCACCAATCATATGTTCTGTAAAATCCACATGGAGTCTTTTATTGAAACAAGGTTGCACACCAAAAAAGTACAGAGAGGAAATGACTGGAAAAGTACATTAGATCTGCACTGATATTAAAGCCTATAGTTCATTGACTGTTTAACACACATTTTATTTCAGTACCTATGTTGAAAAAAACCAAATGGAAATATCAAGTTCAGTTTCAATATCACCAAATCGCCAGTTTTCATCTACTCTTGTAAAATGCTTTAATAATTCAAATGCATGAAATATAACTCCAGACCTGTATAATCAAAGGAGAAAACACAAGCATATTGGCATTTTGATTTTAAAAACAAAATCTGCATAATCCTTGAAATAAGTCATCATTTGAACTATTTAACTCTTCTTTTTTTAGTGCTAAACCACTAAAGTTCTATATATTGTAATCTGCATAGGAACATCAGGAAAACATATTTGACCTGTATAACAATTCTCTGTAGGGCAAAAATATATAGATTCTTTATGCAAATCATGTGCGAAGAATAGAAACCAAACACTGCACTTTTCTTACATAAATATATTAAAAAAAACAGTTTTAAAAAACTTGCTTCTGTGGTGTGTAAACAGCTCTTATTAAATTAGGAAATGGGTATGAAATGAGATTTTTCTCCAAAAAATGTAAAGTATGTAATAACAGTTGTATTATAAAAGCAAGATTGTATGATTATGAGTTCTCCATCAACCTAGCTAGTTTCAGGCAACAAAATTGTAGTTGGGAAACGCACTTCAGCTTTGTCCCACTAACTATAAGCATGTGAAAAACAAAACCAAACAAACGTGATACAAGAACCACAAAATGGGGGTTTCCACGCTTCCGAAATATCATCATTTACTACCTTCCCTACAGTGTGATGTCATGGTGAAAAAAACTCCTAACATTTATATTTACAAAACAAAAGAAAACCTGGCAATTTTCATTCAGACTCTTTAAAGCCATTTCCCCTTAAACATTGAAAGAGTTTTAACAGTAAGATTTTTATTTTTAAATTTCAAGTTATAAAATAAAAATCCCATTTGAATTTTTCCGATGTACAAAAAGTGATAAAGATGAACCATTTGATCGCAGAATAAGTTCATTATTTCAAAATTCATACCATCTCCATCCTGTTATTAAAGTCCAACCCAATCAAATCCAGATGTAGAAGTATTTGGCAAACAGTTTTATTTCTCTTCAAAAATGGCACAGAGAGAAGAAAAAAAACACTTGTCTGCATAGCATTACAGCAGCAAGATATCAAAGAAATAAAAAATATCCTTTACTGATCTTTGTTTCAAGAGTTCCCTAGGAAATAACACAGTTTGTTTTTCCATCAAAAAGATACGATGTCCTTCTCTACTCATAGCAGTAGTATTCAAAACAGAAAAAGCAGCATTTCATCTCATTTGATGTACTGAAAATTAAAAGGTCCATTTGGCAACATTTTCAATCAAAACTGATGACTGGTGGAATGGGAATCCATGACTTCAAGTTAAGATTTATTTTCACAGGAGGCATTCTGATGCTAGTGTCTGTCACCAGTTTTTAAGTAATTGGAGTGGGGGGGGGGAATGAAACACTTGAATACTTCCTTCGTATATGCTGTTATAGGCTGGTATTCGGGGTGAAAATACAGAAGGATCAGTTTGTGATGGTCGTACAAAAGTTATTATATCTTCAAATGTGCAGTTGTGTAGCTCAAATGACTGGTGACCAGGATGTGTTTGCTTTTTCTGTGTTTCTGTATTATAAAACAATGAGTTGTCCTCTAATAGATTTGGTTCACCTACTTTCATTATATGGAGTCCTAGAAACAACAAAAGGTAACAAAAAGAAAAGATATTTCGATAGTTCGAAGTTGTAGGAATGCAGATGACATTCCCCCCCCTCCCCCAGGAAAGTAGGATTTTGAAAAATAAGGGGAATTAATCCACTGATGTGATTATCCTTGATTAGCTGAGATAACTAAATAATATTAAAAAATGTAGTAGGAGCCAAAGGCCTGTCAAGATTGGAGTTTTCATTTGCGACTTGAAGTGCCACGAGTGTGGGTCAATGCTATTTCTTAGGTCTTAGGTCTGTTGATCTGGGCATAGAGTGGTTCTCTTTCCTAAAAACAATAGAAAGACAAAAAAATGAATAGAGATATTTCTAGTCATTTGAATGTGAACAGCAGACCCACAGACCACAGCCAAAGTGGGATAAATGCACACACACACACACACACACACACACATACACACACAAACCCCATAATTTGAATTATGATAATATCCAAAAAGACAGTTTTAAGAAAAAAACCAACAACTGTACGCTACTGATATTTGTTAAAAAGTCAGTTGTATATGTAGAAGAAATGACGCTCTTGGAATATGAAAAAAATGTGATTTTAATGCACAGGAATAAATTGTTTTTCTGCAGGAATAAATTGTTTTTCTACTCTCAGTTTAATATTTAACATTTTAAACTATATGGTTTCATGCTAATATATTACTGATTTAAAATTATTCCATTCCACTTTTTCCCAGGCTTTCAATGCATGCATGATTGATTTACTGAGTTCAGAATGATGTCCAAAATGAGGATGTCACACCAAATATTTATTTATTCATTTATTTAATTAATATCTAGTTGGCCCATCTTATATACATAACTTTGGGCAGCTAATAATTAGAACAGATTAAAAATAATAAAAACAGAATAAATATCTCCTCAGAATTCCAAAATATAACATAAATTCAAACCTTTAATCATTTTAATTCTGATGTTTCCAAACTATGATAGACAAAATGCATTACAAATGTTGGCAAATACTGACTGTAGAAATGTCAAGCAATGTGAAGATGGTTTAATGAACATGAAAAGCAGCAATATGCAATTTGGTAAATTGTTACAATAAACTAAAGCCACTATCTCATCATCTTAGGAAGTTTAGTGCAGTTTAGAGAACATATTCTAAAGCTAGGCTTCTAGATATATTGAATTTGAGCTTCCATAAACAGCTATGCTAACTTTAAACTTATGGAAAAGTCCAATGTATCTGGAAGGTATCAAGCTTTCTAATATACAACAAAGACATTTTTGATTCCATCTGATTTTAGTAATTTGTTCATAGAAGCAATGATATTTCTGAAGAACTTGAAAAGTTATTCCCAATTTATGTTTAGATTATATCTAGCATTTGATTTTTTTCCCTGATCCAATGCAAATACTTTTGTATAGTTGTATAAATCCTGTTTGCTTACTCTTTATGAATCTTTATTGATGGTAAAATAATATTTCTCATCTTGAGTAGACATGTACTTTGATTTTTAGCCTGTAATCTAAACCAGGAGTCCCCAACTCCCGGTCTGTGGACCAGTACCAGGCTGCAGCATGCCAGCAACCAGTCCGCACAAACAAGCAAAGCCCCATCTGTGAGATGCAGGCAGCACTGAAAACCATGCACCCTCCAGTCTGTGGAAAAATCTCTCTCCACGGAACCTGTCCTTGGTGCCCAAAAGGTTGGGGACCTCTGATTTAAATAACCTGTGAGTAAGCAAAAGGCAGCAAATTTTACATTTCACACTCTTTTTAAAATAAGGGACAATATACTCATATTAATCAGATTCTGCCTTTTTAAGTAGTCTTCTACTTTTTCTGGGATAGAGTCAATTTTATCCCCTAGAACAGACATGTCAAACTCGCAACGTCACGTGACATCACGCAACGTATTAGGATGGTTTTGCCATTGCTGGCAATGGGGTGGACGTGGCTTTCAGATGATGTGTTTGGCCCATGGGCTGGCAGTTTGACACCCCTGCCCTAGAACAAGATTTTAGACAATGATCTGCAGAACTTGAGAGCTCCAGGAGAACTTGATTGTGCTCCATGATAGACTAAAGGAAGGAAATGTTCACTTCAACACAATCAATCTTCTTTTACTAAAATTTTGTTTTAGGGGTCCAGAAAGTTTTCTTTTTCACTAACTGATTTGATAGCCTGAAAATAAATGGAAAACCCTGCCCTGGAACAAAGATTTTGCTATTCTCCTGCCCCCAATAAAAGAACCAATTAATTCTTATCCATGCAAACAATTCTTGATACATAAGTATGAAAATCAGTTAGGAACTGTCAAAAGTTATTGTTCAGAATGTTGATGAAGAATATTAATATATATATAGATGGAAATAATATGTTGTAAGAGAAGATGCTTCCATTAGATCAGCATATAGGAAAATGTTATTAAAATCAATATTAAAAAAATTAGGAAATGACACTCTACTTATGGTTGACAGTCTTACCAATGTGTAAGATTAAAGTTTCAAAAAGTAAGAATTGGTAAAAAAAAGCCCGTATAAAATAGAAAAACCATATTAATACTAACCAATTTGTTCAGTAGATCTGTGTTACAGTAAATGCAGATTCAGATAAGACACTGGAGGAAAATATTAAACAAAATTGAGCATGGAAAATTATTCCAGAATATCAGTTGATTTTTATGTTTTAAATTTAATATTCTTCATAGCTTTTGTATTAAACAAATTATCTAATGACTCTCTACTATTACAATCTTTGTCATTTTCCACTGTCATGTCTATCTGGCAGAAATAAGAAGCATGTCTTAGCTTTTCAAATTTTCTGTGTCCCTCAATATTTTCCTAAGTCTCAAAAGGATAATTCAGAACTTTTATATAGGTTGGCTTTCAAACTAGTGAATATGTTACATTCAGTATCACTATTCTAAGGAAATTTTACTTAAGCAACTTAAAATGATTTCTAAATATAATGTAATTGATTTTCTTATATCAGTGCCATATTAAGATAAAGGAGAATATGCTATACAATAGATGGATTTTTCTGCCTAACATAACAAGAAGGGCAGGAAAAACATGTATTATGAACTTAAAGGTCTCCAAACTTTACACTCGCTATTTTTAAAGAGTTTGATGCAAAGGGAACTGAGAGGTGTAGCGATCCTTTTCTATCTTTTGGTGGTAAAGGGATCTTCCTTTATGTAGTGATTAATTGTGCAGTTTTATAGATGCAGAAGTGGGCAATTAAAGAAGTTGCAGAGACAGATAGGAAAAAATGCACTAGAACTATTAAAAAAATTAAAGCTTTTTTTTTTTTTTTAAGGGAACAAAGTTTGGAGAATTTTGAAACTTAAGAACAGTATTAGTTTTATGGTTAAGACTGAGTAAAGGGTCAATCCTACAGGTGACAAGTCTTCTTTTAGTAAGAAAAAGCTGTCTAAAACTGTGTAATAACATCATAGATTTTATCTTCTTTCTCTGCCCAGTAGTAACTAATGAGAAAAAAATTGAGCATAGAGGCTAATTGTGAGTGCTAATTACTGCTAGGTTAAGGCCTTACATTGAAAATCCTGGCAGGATCTGACACACAAAATGTGAAAATGCCCCATATTATAAAACTCTTGTTTTGGCTTGATGGACAAAGGAAAAAAAAGGACATATTTTTATAATGGCTATAAATATGCAGAAAGAACTTTAGAGGAAACAAGAACACGTTAAGGAATAATAAAAGCATATAATTGTTGTATAGTCTTCCATAATATCTCAATTTGAATTAGAAACTGATAATAGTGTCCAAGGAGCTCTGGTAACGTCAATGCAAAGTTCCCAGCTTCTGCTTTGAAAAATAAATCAAGGGAAATATTTCATTTATGAGCAGATTCCAGATTTGGCCCTGAGATGTCTTTAAAAAGTATAGCTGTGGTTTTCAAGTTGTTAAACGTTTAAGACAATTAGGCAGAAAAGAGTAAAATAATCTAGGAATTGAAAATTGATAAAGCACTCAATTACTAAAAAAAAATATCCAAAGATTTTAAAGAAATCTTTTACTAAAAAAAATAATTGAAAAAAAAATGCTTATAACATTGAAATTTTATGAAATCAAGGATTATCAGGTGAAAATAGAAAGGGTCTAAACAACATCACAAACAACAACGTGGACAAATCTAAAGCCAAATGGGGAATGACAGTTCTTTCTAGCTTTTAAATGAGCATAGACTTGCTAGGATAGTTTGATCTAGAACAGTGGTTCTCAGCCTGTGGGTCGGGACCCCATTTGGGGTCGAACGACCATTTCACGGGGGTCGCCAAACAAGGCTGTCTGCCATTTTTTTTCCCTTTTCCCTTGCTGTCCTACTCCCTCTTATTGGTGGCCACACCCACTTGGGGGTCACCACAACACCACTGTATTATGGGGTCACGGCATTAGAAAGGTTGAGAACCACTGATCTAGAATGCCCTTTTCATGAAGAGATAGTCCTTTCCTGTACAGAAGGAATCAGGTTCCAATAGGTTGAAAAAGTATTTATTCCTGTATTAAATATAAGGAATACAGGAAGAAGTATTAAGGAAGAAACACTTCCCTGGTATCTGTATCACTCTCACATTATCCATAAAAATCGAAACCTCCAAGCAAGGCTGCATGAGAAGGTAGTACATCACATTCATAGTTTCACTATAGAAGCATCCTGAGAGTGGGAATCCACTCCCAAGAACGTAAAGCACTTCTGGCTTCCAAATTTACAGATTTAATTTTAAAAAAGAGAATAAGCAACTTTCAAAATAGATTTTTCCACTCAAGTTATTTCAAAATGGAAAGACTAACAATTCATCTTCCAGATTCAGAGGTCAGAAGTAAAAATAGCAAATAAAATGCTTTGTTCATGGTTTTTAAGGATATCTTTGTCTATTAATATTGTTAGATTAGATTAGATAATCTTTATTGTCATTTTTTTTTTACTGTGGGCACAACAGCACACTTTAAAATTGAAATTTAGTTGCTTGCTTACAATGTTTAGCTAGAGAGAGAGAGAAAAAAAAGATAATAGTTCAGATAATTCAATAGTGGGCAAATTTAAAATCAGTCGTGCCATGGTAGACTAAAGTAAATTAATTCACCTGCTTGATCGCTTTGAAAATTAATAGCAACATAAAGCTAGTCATTGTTGGCATTGGCATTTTGTACTATTTAAAAACAGAGAAAAGTGATCAGTTGGTTATCAATGACTGGGCAAAGCAATAAAAATGGGATAAAAATGTTTCAGATGTAGTTGCATTTTCATCAGTTTCATCAGAACAATGAAATACAAGCTGACTTGAATCACTTGTAATTTGTGTTCTTTTCCTCCTGCCCATCCAGAATGGTTGTGGTTTTTAATAAATAAAGACAGGGCTCAAGGCTAAAATTCAGGGATCTGCTGATCAGGAAAGCATGGTGCACTGACCTATTGTGACTGGTGAAACACATTAGCAGCACCCCCACCCCACACACTTAAGTCTGGAAATCACTATACTTTAGGCACTCAAAATAATTCCTTCATTTTTATAGATTTGCTTCATAAACTTTATACAGAGACAGGAATTGAACTTTAAACTTGTTCAATTCGCCATGTATGAAGTATATTTCTTTCATATGCCAATAGTACAACTGAAATTGGATGGGTTTGTTCAGCACTCACAAGCACTGCACCTTTACAATCATTCAGACAAAACACAAACCAGTATAAAATAGCCACAGTCAGTTTTTTAAAAAAGTCTGTCAACATGCAAAATGAGCCATTAATGATTACAGCAACATGTCACCTTAAATTTGATAATGGAAAATGGATAACTAAACAATAGTTGGGAATGATAGCAAGGCTGTTGCATGAATTAACAACCTATATATCAATAACAATTTTGAATCAAACTGTTAGTAAATTTTTCAAGAGATTATTGATACAGCTATGGAGTGGGAAGGCATATTTCAATTTTGATTGTCTTTTTAACCAACAGTTGATAAATGAATAGAATATTTATAACTCATCATAAATACCAGAAATTGGAGATTGACAATAACACATGCATGGATTCCTGCCTGGTTAATCCACCCTGATTATTAATGGTAACAATCTCCAGTTTCACATTAATACATGTTTCCCTTACTATTATATTATAATTTTGACATTTTGACATCACCTGCAAATGGAATTATGGTGTGAGAAGTAGTGAAGTGAAAAAATGAAATTCTGCACATATAGCATCCAAGAAAATGAAGACAGGCAATAGTGAAAGGGAATGGCTGAAAAGTAAGTGAGCGAAAGAGATAGAGAGGACAGATACCTACCCCAACCTGCGCTATCTAGCTATCGCCCTGTGGACTTACAGTATCACCAATAGATTCACCAAATGGATCACTGTTGGATGAGGCCTGAGATCCATCAGGCTAGAATATAAGAACATAACACCTTTTTTTTTCAACAGCAGAAAGGAAAACAACATCAGAGGTTATTTTCATGCCATCAATGCATTTCGTCAAATTTACCCATTGTAGATGAAAGGCCAAAATGAATTGAATATCCATGACCCTGATTCTATGGGATTATTCAGTCCCCATGATGGTATTGCTGGGAAAACGTGCGCTATATTTTAGGAAAGGGTGGGGGGAACCCTATCACAGCCCTTGAGAATTATAGAATCATGATCAAAAGTTCCCCCAAGGAAATCCCTCCCCAAATTTAGAAAGTCTGTGGGAATTTTTTAAAAAAATGTTTAAAAATAAGATCATTCTAAACAAAGTAGAAACTGCCATCCTGAATATAAAACCAATTTACAAGTGATGTTTTAGTTTAGTCCATGTGCATGGATAACACTAGCACTGTAAATATTGTGAAGTGAAACTACTCAAGGCAGACAGCTTTTAGGGGAAATTGAACTTGTGGTCATGAAAACAATATTTTAAAGAAGTGGATTTTTGAACAGAGCAACTCTGAGTTATACTTTATTTTATATAAAAATAATATATTTTCAAATCATCTTCCAATTTTTGTATCATTTTATAGTGTTAAATTAGTCTGTAATTATATGTACCCTCTTTTCCTGAGCATTAGCCTTTTCAATTTTTAATACATTCCCATTGGATACAAATTAAGTATAGCTTCCAACTAATCCCTTTCCTTGTTCAAGCACAGAAGGAAGAGTATTAAGAGAAGTATTAAGAGTATTAATCCATACAGAAGTTACCCAAAAAATTTTCTCTGCAATTAAAATACTTCATTTTGCATTCAGATCCTACTTCCTTTTCGGTTTAAAAAAACTGTGATGAACTCTAGGCAGTGGTATGAATTTTAAATTTAACTCACTTAATAGATAGAGCTGCCAGATAATTTGGATTGCATAACAAAGGAAGACACAAAAAATGACAATCATTTGATGGTAGGAAAGAAGTATGATTTTTTGCTGCCAACCAGTGGTCACCCAGATTTATGCAAGCCAGATCTCATAGACAAGAATGAACTTTAAACGTTGCCATACTTTTAAGCAGAAAGGTACTGTTTTGCACTCTTCAGTTGCCTATGCCTTTTTTGTCCTTACAGTGGTATCTTGTACTTGACTGCTTCAAAACCTGTCGAATTTGGTATTCAGTGCATTTTGATGTAAAAATGTTGTCCTGGTATTCGTTTTTTGTTTGGTACTCAACGTGCTGTGACAGGAAGAGGGGGACGGCAGCGGACCATGGGACAGGAAGTCAGCCATGCCTGGAAGGTCATTGAAAAAGGAAGCAAGCAGGGGATGGCTGCAGAGGGTGGATAGGAAGTTGACCATGCTGGGATGGTTGCTGACATAGGAAAAAGGACAGATAGGAAGTCCTTCCCAGATGAAAAAAGGATCATGTGGTAAGTCACGTGGTTTGTTTGGTACTTGTTTTTAGTACTTGTTGCACCTCCCAGAACCAATTAATGATGAGTACTGAGATAGCATATAAATCTTTTTTGTCTTTATCAGCTAGGAACCATACATTTAAAGACATTCTATATTCTTCCATATTACCCTCATTCTATTCTTCTTGATCCTATCTCTTTTAAGAGGTAGCAAGAGAAGAAAGTTTTAGACTAATGAACCAAGGTCCAATTTAGTACAAAGCTATAAAAAGAAGAAACACCCCAATAAACTTATAAATGGACATTTTATAGATGTAAATGTTAAGCTATTGTGCACTGCCTTCAATTTTAACTCTTCTGTAGCGTGCACACCACTGTGTCTTATGAGGGCTGATCAGAAAGCTGTAAAACTGAGGTGAGAACACCATACTCCACAAGTTGTGGATAACCAAGAGAATATCGAAAGAACTTTAAGTGGCAGTGGTAAGAGAGGGAAAAGGAAATGGGAAGGTTAAATAATTTCTCTAAATTTAAATTCTCTTAAATTAAAAAAACCCTGAAATCTATGAATTATGTTAACGGTTCAGCCAAAATAAATGAGTGAATATATTAATAAACAGGAGCTGAGTTACTTACTGCTTCTTGCTCTTCACTTTTGCTTGGGCTTTCAAAGCCCTCTTCAAAGAGGTCATCTGCAGCAGCGTCACTGGTATGAGATGCTGAGGATTTAGATGGAGAACTCTGTCTGGGAGCAGGAGTTGGGGCTAACAAAATCAATCAATCAAACAAATAAATAACAAAAATTAGCGCTATGGATTCTAAATGTCACTTAGTAACCTTTTGAACTATTGTGAGAAAAATGGGGTGATCTATGAACTTGGTGATGTTGTGTGATGAAATATACGTGGCTATGATAAGTTAGCTTAATTAAAAGTTAAGGTTCTCCTTAATAAAGTGCTTAGAGACTGCTCACTTTGAGAAGCCAATAAGCTTTTTAAAACAATAGGATTTAAAATATGACTTTAATTTTATTGCTTCAGCAAAAACCACACGTTTCACTCTTCATTTGACAAGTCCATGGACAAAGAACTTACAGTATATAACTGAGGGAGATGGAGGGCTGCTGCATATCCAGTTTGATTCTAACATGTTTAAAAAGTACAATATGTATTATTTTAGTATTTACAGTCTTCTACAGGTCTTCAAAATTACTGCTGTTATTGCTGATACCAACATTGATTGAGATACCTTTATAATTAGGGTAATGCTAAGCAATTATATATCTTTACCCCTAGTCAGACAGGTGATGCTGCGGCGGTGCGGGCTGAGTGCCTAGAGGCTGTAAGAGTCTGGACGGGGAAGGAAGTGGCTTCAATGAACCCTGGCAAGATGGAGTAGCTCTGGATTTATTATGTACCCCAGGCCCAGATCAAATTTCATCTTCAACACTGGAGGGGTGGCACTTTCCTGGACCAAGTTGATGTGCAGTTTGGAAGCCCTCCTAGATTCATGATTCCTGTTTAAGCAGGAGATGGCTGGGGGGGGTGTGCTTTGCATAGATTCATCTCTGTTCTAATTGCACTCTTTCCTGGACTGTGAGTCTTTGCTCATGGTCATTTATTCCTTAGTCACTTTCCATTTATATTACTTCAATGCACTCTACATGGGGCTATCTTTGAAGGCCACTTGGAAGCTACAACCAGTCCAGAATGGAGCAGCAGAGCATAGTCATAGGTACCCCTAGATTTACTCACATAACACCTTTGTTGTGAGAGCTACACTGGCTATCAGTTTTCTTCTGGGAGGTGCTGGTCATTTTTAAAGCCCAAGGTCAGATAATCTGCAGGATCACCTCTCCCTAAGGATATCTACCTATCCTACCAGATCAGATAGTATGGGCACACTCCTAGTTCCTTCCCTTAAACATTGCCACCTTATGGAAGCTAGGAAGTGTGCTTTTCCATACCTGCATTATGGAACATTCTTCAGCCTGAGGTATCCTCCCAAGGTTCCAAAAAGCATTGAAAACCCAGATTTTCATCAAGCATTGAGATAGACTGAGAGAGATGAGAGGATTTTATGATGGACTGTGTGTCAGAAACTTAACTTGGTCCAGGTGTTTAATATTTATGGTTTTAATATATGTATGTGTTATGTCAGTTTATTACTGATATTGTTTTAATTGGTGATTGGAAGCACCTGAGAGTTTCATGTATGATAGACAGCCATATGAGTATTTGAAATAACTAAATAATATTGTGAAAGAAATCAAATCTAAAATCAACAATATTGCTTTCGACTATTTTGATAGGCAATTGTTGCAAGAGATGTTCAAAGAATACATAGCACAGAATAGATATCATTTTTTTCACCTGCAAGTCATCATACATGGATTGGTTTACATAAAATGTTTTTGCAATAATGTTATCACAATAATCAAGTAAGACTGGAGATTCCAAATTCAAAATCAGCAAGGATAGCTACTATTGGAAGAAAAAGAGTATTGAATTGCTACTGAATACAGATTTAATTCTAGTTCTTATGCCTACTTAAGATAGCATTACATTGTTATTCAAAGTGAAATTCATGAAAGCGGTATGTATAGATTTCCATAAATCTGACATGATTGTTTGAAGTTCATGTTTCCCCACTTTCAAATAGATGCATATGACTCAGAAAAGAGAAACAAGGCTAAAGCAGAAATACTGAGGTACTCACGTGAATTTGTTGATGGTGTTGTAGATGTCACAGGAGTCAGATTTAACTGAGAGATATCAAAGTCATCACAATCATCTGCTTCCTGTGCCATTCCAACTTTGTTAAAGTAACTGGAGAAGGCCTCTGAGGTACAACTGAGGGAAGGCTGATCTGGTTTTCGTGATGGTATTGGAGGTGCCTGAACCATCTGGAAATCTTTAAACATTTCTTTTCCGGCTTGCTGCCTTGGGCTATCTGTCTGTGGACTTGATCTGGTGGAATCACTGGTTGGTGGAACAGTAGCAGTGGGAACAATGGTACCTTGAAACATGGCTGCTTGTAAAGGCAAAACAGTTTGTGTTGGCATGAAGGCAGCGGGCTGAAACTGACCAGCTACAGATGGCCATGGTTGCTGGGTGGGAGGAAACATCCCAGGTTGTCCCCATGCAATTGACTGTCCTCCTTGCATCACCTGAGCAACTGGAGGCTGAGCACCCATGGCCAGTTGTTGTTGAACAAGTGGTTGCTGTCCCCAGAAGGAAGGCAGGACAGCTCCCATTGCAACATAACCTTTGGAAAGAAAAGAGAGTGGGCAGTGAGGACAACTGCAGGACAGGAATGGCAAAAACAGGGCAATGAAAACAAAACAACACATGAATTGACCAGATACCCAGATGACTTGCTTCAGAGATATAATACTACTAGACTGATGGCCAAAATTAGAAGAAGGATCAAGTTGATGACTAGACTAGTACAAAATGATATTTGTCTTAACCATTTCCTGTAGTAGGACAAGAGTGACCAAGTTATGTTTTTTCATGAGAATCTACATGATCAGAATTTCTCTCTTTCAGAGTACTTGAGATACTCACCCACTTCCCATTTCCATTATGCAGCCTGGCACAGATCATAGCAACTTGCACTATGCTTGCAGTATTTGTAGCTTGATGTTCAATTATAAGCAGCTCAGAAGCTTGCTTTATTCTTTTATTTTTTAGTAAGTTGGTTAACTGACAACATTCCTTTATCTGTTGCATATTTATCATAGCTCCTAACCTATGAGAAAAAGGGTTTTCCAAGTTGTTTCTAACCTACTTCCCCCCCCCCCCTTTATTTTTGACACTATCCACCACCCAAGAAGTAATTTTGACCCTGAAAAGACTATCTCAAAAGACTTAGCAGTTGGTGCTGATTTATGCATGAAACTAGTTCCTTATCCCTGTTTGGAAAAAAATGAAAACTATACATCCAGATATGTATTCATATAAGCTGCAAGAAAGCAATATTTTAAGAGAGAGAGAGAGAAAGAGCTAATGATATGACAGAATTATAATTTTCTAAATTGTGTGTATAAGTGCACATATGCCAGTTTCCATACTATGTGGAATTGCATTCCTCACCCACCAACTTGCTTTGGAATGGATGGGACTTGGCATTTGCAAGCAAGATGCAACAAAATGTTTTCAGTCATGTTTATTTTAATATCCATGAGCTCATGAGTTCCAACTGAAAAGATCAGTGGTTTGTTAGAATATATAATACTTCTGAAAAATCTATAGGTATAGTCTATAGGTGTAGAATTTAATGCTTTTTTGTTTTTATCTTATAGTGGGCAGAAAAGAGCTTAGTTAAGGGACATATTATCCAGTGCGAGTAGAACAAATGAGATTGAAATGTTATTTATAGAAAAAAGATAACAATTTAGTAAGTCAATCCATATGTTGAAGGTAAGAAGATTTCCTTAGAAATGCTGCACCTGTGAAGCTAGAAAAGACAGTTAGTACTATACATCAAGGATCTCTAAACTTTAATAATTTTGTTATGAAAATTAGCTAAAATTAATATTACTCTGATCACAAACCATGGGAATTTGTTCAATGTTTAAACCATAAGAAGAAATGATTGATTACCTCAGATTGCTGTGGTAGGACAGGCCTGAGAGGCTACAGTAACACCCATGTGAGCAATTATAACTGCAGTTAATGAACACTTCTTTTAGTTTAAAACCAACCAAATTTCTCTTTTCACGTTTGTGGGAAATTTGAGTGCAACAATTATCAGGAATATCAAACTGCCGGTCTGCAGGCCGGATGCATCACACCGAAACCGTGCCCATTCCATTGCCGGCAATGGAGAAAACGTTGAGACATCACGCGACGTCACGAGTTTGACATGCCTGATCTATATTAACTGTTGATTTACCAAAAAGAAAAAAATCAACTTGCTGGGCACATATTGTATCTTAAGACATTACTTTGGTAACTTCCAGATTCCTGTCTGGAATTCAGATATCCAAAGAATGCCACTCAAATACATGATTCTTTTTGTTTATTTTTTAACCAAGTTGTTCTTTGATTAACAAAGCCAAGTCATTTATTGATTACGATGTTGATAACTATCACCTGCTTCTATTTTGTGTGAAGCATACAGAAATGTAAAGGGAATCTATAACTAACTTCAATATAAAAGCAGGATCGTCTAACACAATATCTACTAGGTACAAAAGTAAACATGGCACCCTGATGCAACTTGAACACGTTTACTATTTATGTAATGTACAGAAAACAGTGTGTACAGTAAGTAGAGAAGTTTAGATATCCTTTCAGTCAATACTCTGTAACACCTGCTTTGACAGAAATAAGATTTTCCATTTTTTTTTCTATAGCCAAATAAGAGTCCTTCTATTCTTGTGATTAGGATTATCTTCCTTGTCAAGCTCTTTCTGGTTTAGAGATATTCTTAGATTTTCTTGCATGCATTACGTATCTATTTTCTGTTATATTCAAGCTTGAAGGTTGTACAACCCATTACAAAATCTTTTATCTTTATTTTTGTATGTACTTTATGGCTGATTTGAAGGTAAGTTTTAAACTATTGTAATGATTTGTATGTGTTTATAATCTTTTTTTGGGGGGGGTCTAATCTTCATTAGGTGAGATTGTCGGGGTTATCTTTTTTCAAATAAATAGTCCCACCTTTTTACTTTCAAGCAATCCTGCAAAGTTGGTCTTCTTGAGAAACTGATTCAAAATCATCCAGATTAAAAGAGACTACAGCCAAGCATCCTGGATTAAATTCTAGTATTTAAGTCATAGATATTCAGGCCTTATTTGTAAAAACATTGTTTTAGATTTTTTATAATTATTAATTGGTAAAATCCAAGTAAATTCAAATGTTTTTGCATAGGAGTGTTTCAGAATTTTGCTTTTAGATTATGTGCTATGTATAGCCTAAAATATGCGTATTTTATGCATAAATGTGAAATTGTACCTTGACCTAGCAGTGGGTCAGTGGCAACTGTTTCAGAATTCAAAAATAGCAGGAATAAGTACATTTAATATCTGTAAACCTTTCTGAGCTTCAAAAGTAGGGCACAATATTAATCAAATTTGCATTTTGGTCTCTGAAGAATACTGAACAATAGTTTTCATCCTTTAGTGCTACTGATGTTCCAGATAAATCAAAAGAAAAAGAAATAGTTTTTTCATAATTAAGAGTGATTTATTACTTTGATTATGAAATTAAATTCTCAAGGGTTCCTCAAAATTTGCAAAATAAGAATGATTGAAAAAAAATTGGCTGAGATGAGGCGAACATTTTATCTGTGATGTTAGTTCTGCCATGGCTCATATGTTACAGATCAATGATATGTGAGCAAAGAGGTATGAATCAGCACTTAATTACTAGAATTACAAATCATACAAGGTCTGTCTAGGGCTTCAAATGATTTGATGTGTAATACAATAACATCCCTTAGTCCCAGATTGAGCTTCAAATTTCCAGTTAAAGAGCTTGATGGAAAATATTTACCTGAGGGTACAGCAGCACTGCTGTAAGGTACAGAACTAAATACCTCTGTACCAGCAGGAAGTGACTGGGATGAAGATGGGATAAAGGCATCACCTGGAGTTGCAGGGGTCTATAAAACAAGAAACAATTAAAATGCCTTGATAAACTGTCACAGGTTTCATGTGCGGCTTTCATTGCCAAGCTCCATACATATCCTTTCCCTAATTAAAAGAGCTATTGCATGAACGAGAAAAGCCAGCAGTGGCTGATGAGTGGGAGTAGTAGAAGAAAGAAGACATAAATGTGAACGAATGGCAAGGAAAGCTACCTATCATTAGAAGCAGGATGAGAAATGGTATCACCAAATTCTCATAAAATTTGTAGATATTTGGCAAAATCTGAAAGTGTTCTTTTGCAACTTCTAAATTATATGCAAATTCTTTCAGCACCTGTTTCTTCATAAAAGTCTAAGGCTGTGTAATTTTAGTAACTTCACAGGGGATTAGCATAAGTAATTTAGGGTTTTAAAAGTAAGACAATTAGTAATGTTATAGAGGAAGAAATTCAAACTGGGTAATATGTCTGTAAATCTTTTTGGGAATTCTGTCAAATTCAGTCTTCAGTCTTTCTCATAAATATTAAAATTTGCTATATATTGATATTGTAAAAATGTTGACATTGGCCTGCAAGAAACAATCCAGAATTTTAACAGCAATACTTACAGGGGGAGAGGTTATATCAGGAGGAGTGGACATATCCCCAAACAGCTCTAGTTGGGGAACAGCCTGTAAATAATTTCAAAATGAGACAGAATTAGTCATATTTTTCTAATCCACAGAGGAGGGAAAGCAAGTTCAATTTCTCAACATTATCTATTTTAAAGTAAATTATTTAAGTACTGATTGCCAACTTTTGGATACTAGGGGAATAAACATACAAAAAAAATAGACATTATGTTACATTTTATTTTTTAGTATCTTTTTTCATAGAAATATCTTTTTTAAATTTTTTTGTAGGGAAGGATTTTCTATTCTCCCAGAACATAAATATTAATTTGATTTCAGTAGAAATAGTCCTTGACTTATAGCCGGAATGGAACTATTAGTGAGTTTTGCCCCATTTTTTTTTACCTTTCTTGCCACAGTTAATCACTGCAGCTGTTAAAGTTAATAACATAGTTGTTAAGTGACTCTGGATTCCCCATTGGCTTTGCTTATCAGAAGGTCACAAAAGAGATTCATATGACCCCAGGACACTGCAACCGTCATAAATATGAGTCAGTTGCCAAGCATCTAAGTTTTGATCATGTGACTCTGGGAATGCTACAACGGTCATGTGAAAAATGGGTCATAAATCACTTTTTTCAGTTCCATTGTAACTTTGAACAGTCACTAAACGAACTGTTATAACTTGAGGACTACCTGTATTTAACTGAATTTAACATAGAGAGAAGCCTGTAAACATCCATGTGCAGCTTTACACTATCGCTTATGCATTGATTTCTGCTCATCCTTTATACTGGTTTATTTTATTTTCTTATTGTTTGAAACAGATCATTCCATTATCAAAATATTGTCTTATTTCCCATTTTGAGCCATTGAAAACCGGCATATTAATATTACAGACTAAATAAGCAAACAGATAAATAAAACCAATAGTAAATATAGATTCTGTTCAACTCCAATAAAAACAATTTGAAATCAGTGTAAATAAAAATGACATTTAATTGCATGTCTGGAAGAGATATGAACAGAGTAATATCTATAACTGGATTGGTCTTCAGAAACAACACCAACCAAAGATATTTAGTTTTGTCCCTTTGAAAGGAAATGAGGTACAATGATTAATATAAACTATGTTAACTGCCATGTTCACAGGACTTTTCATCTTTATTAATACTCAAAAGTCAAATATATCTTTAAAACATTATTCTGAATTATGTAGCTCTATGTAACCCTGAGTAGAGCGTGTAGATCTGTATGTAAGAATATCTGGCATTTATTGGGTTAAGTGCTGTCTCCTTAAGAGATGGCTTATGGGTAATGTAGTTTTAGCTAGTCAGCTATATCATGTTAGTAGGTTAGTGGAAGGAGTTTCTAAAGGTCATCACAGGATTTCCTGGACACGAGCCAGTTTGGAATGTGCTTTGTCTGAGTTAGCATGGAGTCACCGCAGGACCTAGATGATCTCATTTCCATGCTAGAAGTTGCTATGGAGACAGTATTAATTTCTCACTGTTCTGACCCAGACATAATTCATATCTTTTTAATGGACAGAGTATGTAAAATAACTTAGGAACTAATGTTCAATAAGGTGCTTCCAAGTTTTAAAGTGTGTTTTCTTATGGAGACATTTCAGGGAAAGGATGCTAACTGTTGAGGCTACATTAATGTAAATAGTATTTTTTAAGGAACCAAACAAACAGTATTTATTTGCATAACTTATATGGCTACCTATCATAAAATGATTCTAAGCAACTCACAACAATCCATAAAAACAAAAATATCCTTCCGCTCACCCACCAGACTAAACTACCTCCTAATAAAACCCCTATCCTATTACAATGCTTGGAATCTCTCAGATTCCAAGGCTGCAGTGGCCACCAAGAAGGCAGGTCTCCAAACTCCTCTCTGTGACAATATTAAAGGGAGGGGATCTAGAGTATGCCCATCCTATCTAACCTAGGAGGGCAGGCAAATACCTTCAAAAAGAGGTAGTCCCTAGCCTTACCCTGTGCCATGTAGGACTTTAAAGGTGACACCCAGGACTTTGAATTGCCCACAGAAGGCAACTAGGAACCAGTGCAGTTCATGCAGCTTTGATATAACTCAGATGAACTGCAGAGCAAGCTTCATGTGCTGCTTCATTCTGGGCCAGTTGCAGCTTCCAGCTAATCTTCAAGGGTAGCCCCACTAGAGAATATTGCAACGATCCAACAGAAGATAACTAAGGTATATATGATCGTGAACAAGGCCGAAATAATTGCAGTTGGCACATAAGATGAATTTTGTGCAAGCCCCCCCCCACTCCATCCTGACTGCCACCTGCTCTTCCAGCAGGAGCCATAAGTCCAGAAGAACCCCCAAAACATGCACCAAATACATCTGGGGGAGTCAAAGATGTAAATTCTCCTAACCTGGTGGTGAGGGGTAAAGACCCACAACCACTCAATTTTGCTAGGGTTGAATTTCAGCTGCTTCTCCCCATTCCAAGTGAATGCTAGTATTTTCTATATGTAAACTTTCTGGAAAGTTTTTCCAGAAAGAAAATGGAGATACTGCTTATACTTATATACTTCCTTATATAAGTACCAGATAGGATAAAGGAGGATGATCCATAGCATTATAAAAAGCTTCATTTCATAAAATGCCACTCATTTCTTAAGGTTGCATTTCTTATGTAGTAAAAAGACAGAAAACTCCTACTCCTTAAAAGGAATTTATTTCCTAATTGTTATGGGGAAATAACAGCTTTCAGCTTTTAGAATTCAAGAGTGCTTTGATAAAGCAGCGTTTTGGTTAATTAATTTTTTTATTCTAAGAAGAATAAAAACATCCTGTACTTCTTACAATCAGGTAAGTACATCCTGTACTTCTTACAATCAAGTATGCTATTATACAAATTGTGGCTTCAGTGGTAAAGAACCTGTTGTGCAATGTTATGTCCGAAATTGAAACTCAGATAATCCTCACCACTATAAGAACATAATTATTGTAAAGGCAACCATGTTTGGTAAAGTGAAATTTGTAATATGTTTCTCTAGTTCTGAATGATAGTCAGTGCTTAGCAAACTCAGCCTTCAGTTGAATTTGCACATGTAGCACACCTATGTATATTATAATTGAAACTGCATAGTGAATTATTTATGGAAAGATGTAAGAAAACATGATACGACAAACTGATGAACTAGATGAGGAATTGCATTAGCATGCAAATAATGAAATTAAGAAAATTAACTTGACAATATAAATACATGGTCTGTTTTGACACTAATAAGTTTCTTTGCAAGTACATATTTTATCTGGAGTGAATCAAAAGATTGTCTGCTTCCACATAAATTTAACAGAAATTATTCCTATGATAATTGCATATTGAAATGTTTTTTGTAATAATGAGAACTGGACAGTTGCAAAACCAATTATTTATTGTTCATAAGACAATGGTATATGTGATGCTAGTAAAACCATAAGCGAAGCTGCTAATACCTATGAGGGTTGGGAAATGATCACATGGAACATTTTGCAAATAGGAATTGATAGGCAGAAATTCTTTCCTTGGAGCACATTGCTGAATTTTAAATATTTGCAAACAGGTGTTTTCTCTAACTAGGAATAGGCAACTTGGTAAACTACTGATGCTTGTAAGCTACAATTCAGACAAGTCCTTATTGGCCATGTTGACTGAGACTAATAAATACTGAAAGAGAAGGGCATCAGATTGCCTATGCCTGCTTTCAGCTATTCACATCTGGACAACTTTACTCTCATGAACATATTTTAAATCTTGGATCTTTTTGAATAAGTATTATATGAAATACTTATTCAAAAATAAGTATTTCTGGACAGACTTGAACACTGGGATCTGCACAGACTTGAACACTGGGCACTATCTAACAAAATAAAATTCAATGGTGAAAAAAGCAAGGTTCTACATTTAGGCAAGAAAAACCAAATGTACAGGTTTAGTATAGGGGGTACCTTGCTCAATGGTAGTAACTGTGAGAGGGACCTCGGAGTCCTAGTAGACAATCACCTAAATATGAGCCAGCAGTATGCTGCAGCTGCCAAAAAGGCCAATACAGTGCTAAGCTGCATTAACAGAGGGATAGAATCAAGATCACGTGAAGTATTAATACCACTTTACAATGCCTTGGTAAGGCCACACTTGGAATACTGCATCCACTTTTGGTCACCACGATGTAAAAAAGATGTTGAGACTCTAGAAAGAGTACAGAGAAGAGCAACAAAGATGATTAGGGGACTGGAGGCTAAAACATATAAGGAACGGTTGCTAGAATTGGGTATGTCTAGTTTAACGAAGAGAAGGACAAGGGGGGACATGATAGCAGTATTCCAATATCTCAGGGGCTGCCATAAAGAAGAGGGAATCAAGCTATTTTCCAAAGCACCTGAAGGCAGGACAAGAAGCAACGGGTGGAAACTAATCAAGGAGAGAAGCAACCTAGAACTAAGGAGAAACTTCCTGACAGTGAGAACAATTAATCAGTGGAACACCTGCCTCCAGAAGCAGTAAATGCTCCAACACTGGAAGTTTTTAAGAAGAGACTGGACAGCCATTTGTCCGAAATGGTATAGGGTTTCCTGTCTGAGCAGGGGGTTGGACTAGATGACCTCCAAGGTCCCTTCCAACTTTATTATTATTATTATTATTATTATATAATTAATATAAACATTTCCCTGATTTGCATGGGTTTTCTAGTTCAATGTTTTGCCAATGTACTTGCATATACTAAGATTTATAGTCTACATATTAAGTGTTTCTAATGTCACTCAGTAAATATCCTATGTTCCATGTAAACAGAACAATGAATTTATATGCCATATTTTAGAAACATGATTTATGTTTACTTCTTTTTCCATTACTTGATCATCCTCTTTTTAAGCATGAGGATTTTTTTTTCCTGTAAAACAAATGGGAAAATAGAGAATTTACAAAATCAGAAAATTATGGATCGTAACTCTGTTCCTGCTGAACATGCAGAGTTTTGATAACAGATTGGTCACAACTTCCAACCCGGTTTAAAGTAAACCAAGTTCATTAATTCTTTTACACACTAAATCTAATAATTTAAGACCATTAATATTTGAAGAATGGCGTGTATGTATTGCATTTAAAAGCAAGGATATCTTATTAATATTATATAAAATATGACTATATAAACTTGAAAAAAAGAGTCTTGATTCAAAGACCAAAACACCCCTTTGAACTGAATCTTCAAATAGCTTAAAATGTTTTTTTCTTCTATTTTTTTAAGAAAAAGCCCCTTTGAATAACTCTGGAAAGATTTCAAGCCTTTGGAGATTTGCAGACTTTCTAGCTTTGTAGAGAGAATTTGCAGACTCTCTTTCATATATAAACTAAGCTGGGGAGAGCGGTGATATTAATGAGTATCTGGTCAATGAATGTAATCACTGTCCCAAATATAGAAGTGGTAGTCTCACAATCTCACTCAATTTCTCCTCACACAATCCCTCAATTTAGGTGGGATCACCAAGAAGGAGAGGGACAGGGGAAGATACCTGTTCCAGTTTTTTCTTTATTTTTGTTTTACATCTATGCTTCTTACTTTTCTTTAATTCACTTATTTATCTGATTTGCAGCATAGATCCTTCTCATATCTGTATCCAATCTATAGCTCTTTTGAGATCCCCTGTATTGCCTTATTGCCTTCCCATTTTAATCATAATCATAATAATTATTCAAACTACTTATTCTTTCTCTATTTTGTTTTTGCCTAAGTAGGTCAATTTTCATATAATAACAATAATAATAATAATAATAAACAATCTCTTTCCATCTGAGCAGAAAGGAAATCGCCCCAACAGCAGAGGAACAAAAGATCAACTCCTAATAGACAAAATGATCTTGGAAAACTGCAAGAGAAGGAAGACCAACCTGAATGTGGCATGGATTGACTACAAAAAGGCATTTGACTCTCTGCCACATGATTGGATAATAAAGTGCCTAGAAATAACAGGAGTCAGTAGAAACATCAGAAAATTTGTGCAAAGATCGATGGCACAATGGAAGACACAGTTGCAGATCAATGGTGAGAGGCTGGGAGAGGTTAATATCAAGAGAGGAATATTTCAAGGAGATTCATTATCACCATTACTATTTGTTATTGCACTGTTTCCTCTGTCAACAATACTGAATAACTCAGGACATGGCTATCAAACATCAAAAACATCTGCCAGACTATCCCACCTCCTTTATATGGATGATCTGAAGCTGTATGGAAAAACATCATCTGAAATAGAATCGCTGCTCAACACTGTCCGTATATATAGCCAAGATATTGTAATGGAGTTTGGCTTGGACAAATGTGCCACACTTACTATCAAACAAGGAAAAATAATGAAAACTGAAGGAATCAAGATGCCCCACGAAAATAACATTAAGAGTCTGGATGAGGAAGAGTACTACAAATACTTGGGTATCCTTCAAGCTGACAACATCAAGCACACTGAAGTCAAGAAAAAGATTAGAGGTGAATACATCAAGAGAGTGAAGAAGATCTTAAAGTCCAAACTCAATGGAGGAAATACCATAAAGGCAATCAACACCTGGGCAATCCCAGTCATTAGGTACACAGCTGGAATAGTGGACTGGACTCAAGCAGAACTAAAAGCAATGGATAGGCAGACCAGAAAAATAATGACAATGAATCATGCCCTTCATCCACGCAGTGACATTGATAGACTTTATCTACCAAGGCAAATAGGTGGGCGTGGAATGCTACAAGTACATCAGATGGTTGAAGAAGAAAAAATGGCTTTGGAAGAATATCTGAAGAACAATGATGAAGATGCACTGAAATTAGTATATCAGGAAGGCTTACTAACTACTGGAGAGACCAAACTGGCCTACAAGAAAGACCAAATGAAGAACAGAATAGAGGCATGGGAAGACAAAGCACTACATGGCCAATACATGAAAAAAATAGCTGGGAAAGCAGATAATAATAAAACCTGGCAATGGCTAAGAGCAGGAAAATTGAAGAAAGAGACCGAGGGACTAATTCTGGCTGCACAAGACCAAGCCTTAAGGACAAATGCATACAAAGTCAAAATTGAGAAGACAGCAACAGACAGTAAGTGCCGCCTATGCAAAGAAGCTGAAGAAACAGTGGACCACTTGGTAAGCTGTTGCAAGAAGATTGCACAGACTGACTACAAGCAGCGGCATGACAAAGTAGCAACAATGGTGCATTGGAAGATCTGCAAAAAATATCATTTGCCTGTAAGCAAAAACTGGTGGGATCATAAAATAGAGAAAATCATAGAAAATGATAAAATTAAACTGCTCTGGGACTTCAGAATTCAAACAGACAAGCACCTGCAACATAACACCCCAGACTTAACAATTGTCGATAAGAAAGACAAAAAAGTCTGGATAGTGGACGTGGCAGTGCCTGGAGACAGCAGAATAGAAGAGAAAGAACTGGAGAAGATAACAAAATACAAAGACCTACAAATAGAAATAGAAAGACTGTGGCAAAAGCAAGCAAGGGTAGTACCAATAGTCATAGGCTCCTTGGGTGCAATCCCAAAACAACTGGAGCACCACTTGAACACCATTGGCATTGACAAATTCGCTATTAGTCAATTGCAAAAGGCGGCCTTATTAGGAACTGCTTCCATCCTGCGACGATATCTGTAATACCATCAAACATCCACATCTGCCTATCCCAGGTCCTGGGTAAGGACTCGATAGGTAAACAAAATGCCAAATCCAGTCTGAACATCTGGCTGACTGTGCGATGATCCATAATAATAAAAAGTTGGAAGTCATCAAGTCCAACCCCCTGCTCAGGCAGGTAACCCTATACCATTTTGGACAAATGGCTGTCCAGTTTCTTCTTAAAAACTTCCAGTGCTGGAGCATTCACCGCTTCTGGAGGCAGGTTGTTCCACTGCTTAATTGTTCTAACTGTTAGGAAGTTTCTCTTTAGTTCTAGGTTGCTTCTCTCCTTGATTAGTTTCCATCTGTTGCTTCTTGTCCTGCCTTCAGGCACTTTGGAAAATAGCTTGACTCCCTCTTCTCTGTGGCAGCCCCTGAGATATTGGAACACTGCTACCATGTCCCCCCTCATCCTTCTCTTCATTAAACTAGACATGCTCAATTCCATCAACATTTCCTTATATGTTTTAACCTCCAGTCCCCTTTGTTGCTCTTCTCTGTACTCTTTCTAGAGTCTCAACATCTTTTTACAGCGCGGTGACCAAAAGTGGATCCTTGAATTCATCTTAGACTATTCTGTACATAGAACAGTGTGTTTTATAGCACAGTGCATTATATACTGAATAGAGACTGTACACACAGATGTGTACATGCTATGTTATTTTCAGGAGATGCTAACACTGCCACTGAGTCAGCCAACAAACCTGTAAGACAATTTTTAATTTTATAAAGTTACAATATGATTACTTTTTATATACTTCTCTTATGAATTTTACTGAACAATTTTCAATCTGTTGTATCTGTTTTAAGAGAAGTGCGGAAATATTTTAAAATTTCATTGCAGTCCAAACCTTGAAGATATCAGACAGAAAGTTTAATTAATATCCTTTAAAGGGTTATGTTCACACATTTCTCCAAAAATAGATAGCAGCTGCAGGCATTTTTATGTTTCCCCATCATAAGCTATAGTCCAATATTTTATTACATAGACACATTTAGAGCATTGCTTCATGATAAATGGTCAGAATTCAAATCTATATGAAATTCTTGTAGGCCTAGAATTCTTTTTAAATCTATTTCATCAAGTCATTAAGAATTGACCATACAGATAATCCATAGGTCGCATTACACTGTATTAAAATTATATTCTATAAATTGTAACATAATGATGTTTCACAATAAATCCTGTTAATTCCCTATCCATGTGTCATGTTGTATGTGCTTTGATATAACATGAAAAAAATATTAAAGTTCAATTTCTGCTCCTAGATGCAATGTATAAATAAAATCAGTATTTTTCTACCTTGTTACATTAAGTGATTAATGTCTATTTAGACCCTTGAAACATCTATGAGCAATTATTTTCACAACTAACAGAAAATTAGCTTACCTGAGTTATTCTACCAAGATTTTCCTCTATGTCCAACAACAGGTTTCCATCCTCCAGCTGTAATGGATGATTGATGAACATGAAAATGGATGGTTTATGAAAAATGACACATACTATTGGACACAGCAATGATAGTTCAACAATTATCTATTTAATATCTGAGCAAAAGCCATTTCAATAGTTTTTATTAAAATGTTTTTGTTCATGTTAATAACATAATTAGACTGAATATATACTATACATGGGATTAAATTCATGCCAATGCAATGAACTGAAAATGGAGCATGAACACAGGTGTATATTAGAATTCAGAATGAATCCACAGTTCTTCTGTGGATATAACTTAAGATCACCCATACTTATACCACCCTTCAGAAAAAAGATGGAACAGAAGCACAATGAAATAAGTAAGTAAGTAAGTAAGTACGTACGTACGTACGTAAGTACTGTATATGCCGGCGACTTCCGCAAGCGCTAAAATCGGCGCCAAAGACAGGGGTCGTCTTATACGCCGAGTCGTCTTATACGCCGGAAATACTGGTAGTTTCCGGCATATAAGACGACCTTCTAGGAATGCGGCTCGGCGACAAAGACGGAGGTCGTCTTATACGCCGGGTGACCTTGTACGCCGGCATATACAGTAAGTAAGTAAGTAAGTAAGTAAGTAAGTAAGTAAGTAAGTAAGTAAGTAATAAAAGTCCTCAGTCTCTTCCCAGGTATGAATGGGAGTAAATAAATAAATTTAAAATGGATAAAAGTGGCCATGTTCTCTATATATTATGTTCAATCTTCTTGTGCTTTTTACATGCATCCTTTACTTTTTTCCCTCCAAAAGTAAAAGGATATGTAAGAAAAATAAATCCTGCAGTTGGAGAAGTTATAATGACCTCATCTGATGTTGAATAGGCATTTATCCTTTAATAATGCTTTCATGATGCCTTTTGTTCTTCTGGCATGTTTAGAGAAATAGCAATAGCAATAGCACTTAAGCTTATATACTGCTTCACAAAACTTTATATCCCTTTCTAAGTGATTCACAGAGTTAATGTATTTCCTGCTACAATCCGGGTCCTCATTTTACTTATCTCAGAAAGATGGAAGGCTGAGTCAACCTTGAGTGATCAGGACTGAACTGCTGCCAGTAAGCAGAGTCAGCCTGCAATAGTGCATTCTAACCACTGTGCCACCATGGTTCATTCCATCTCTCCCCCCCCCCACCTGATATGGCTCCCCTTAATACAGTGGTTCTCAACCTGTGGGTCGGGACCCCATTTGGGGTCGAATGACCATTTCACGGGGGTCACCAAACCATGCTGTCCGCCATTTTTTTCCCTTTTCCCTAGCTGTCCTACTCCCTCTTATTGGTGGCCACACCCACTTGGGGTCACCACAACATGGGGAACTGTATTATGGGGTCATGGCATTAGAAAGGTTGAGAATCACTGCCTTAATACATATTCCTCCTATCATGACTGTTTGATTACACAATATACCCCTATCATAATCAATCTGGTAGATCATTAATACATAGAAGTCACAATTTATTGTTACAGAAACACCATTTTGCGGGGGAATAGCTGTTGCTTTGCAATGTCTTCAAGTAGCTCTTTTGAATTTAACAGGGAAGAGCTGAACAACTGGGCATAAATACATAGCTAAATTGCTTAGAGACATATATATTTTTCTCCTGGCTATTCTAAAGTGAACCTAGCCATTGCTATCTGGATTTTTCCTTAACGATATCACACCTAGGCCTTGGGTATACCAAGCTGATTTATTGCATGAAACATTTTTCCAAATCATTCTTATTCAATTATATCAATATGATATGAAATCTGATTTTGTAAAGAATACAATTAAAACTAAATTATTCAGCAATTATTACTATTATTTACTAAAACACATATGGTTCCTTTGAAATTTTATTTTTAACTATTGTAGGCTACCTTTCAAAACTGAATTTCTGTTTTTCAGAAATTCTGAGTTTTAATCAGAATATCAACATTCCAAATAGTAATTAAAATATGCAAGAGTCATAATTAGAATTCAGAGTAGAAATGATAAAAGGAGAGGGTAGAATATAGGCTTTTAACCAAAGGTTTAATAAAACAGATCATTTTGGGGAAAGAATTTCTGAATGACTGTTAAATCTGAATTGGCATTATTTGTATTAAGGTATGTTATCAATTTATATCATTTACGTCACTATACAATTGAAGCATTGATGTCAACTGTATCAATTAATACCATTTGCTTCATCACACAAATGATATTCATAATGCAAAAAGACCAAGTACATTAGTTATATGAATAACATAAACTAATACAAATTATGTCAATTGTCTGGCCTATTTCAGAAACAACAGACATTCTTTGGGTATTCAATTTGAACTAATTGTAGTTTGTTTTATCTGAAGTCTGCTAAATTTGGACAATTAAGCTTTTACTGCAATTAAAAACTTTCATGCAGCATTCAAGTGTAAAATTAAGACACTAATCAGTAATATGCATGATAGAACAAAAATTCCTTTTTATGGCACCAAAAAGATGATAAAGTTAGCATTCTTTTGGAGGAGCTATTCCTAAATGGAGAACTACTCCTGGAAAACCAATATGGTAGAGTAGTTAAGATGGCGGAGTAAGATTGTGATAACTGATTCAGGATTATCCTTATCCAAGTCTGCTAAGGGATTCTGGGCTAGCCATTCCTTTTCAGCTCATGAAGGATTGCTATTATGGGGATAAAACAAGGGAGATCCCAACCTAAGGCTAATGCTCCTAAAGGAGAGTTGAATACAACTAAAAAGGACTATTTATGGGTAGCCAACACTTCTGAATATCTGATGATCAATCTATATTGGTCAACCTATTCTAAAGCACCTGAAGCAGGACAAGAAGCAATGGGTGGACATTAATCAAGGAGAGAATCAACCTAGAACTAAGGAGAAATTTCCTGGCAGTTAGAAAAATTAATCAGTAGAATGACTTGTCTCTAGAAGTTGTGGGTGTTCCAACACTGGAGGTTTCTAAGAATAGATGGGACAACCATTTGTCTGAAATGGTGTAGGCTTGAGCAAAGGGTTGGACTAGAAGACCTTCCAACTCTATTATTCTATTATTATGATGACTTTAGTGAACAGGTAGGAATTTGTGGGATAAGATATTCTTTTAGAAATAATAGCCCCAAGTCAAGGATAACTTTATACATTAACATTAACACAATTGGGGTAGAAAATGAACTTGAGACAATGGAAATTGTAAAAAAAAACCCCTGGCATAAAACTCCTTCAGTTTGGATCAGATACACAGGAGATCTATAGCCTCGTGTCACCAATAGACTGGTGGCATTTTATTTATTTACAGTCTTTACAGTATTTTATAGACTTCCCCAATCCTGCAAGACTCCAGTGGTTTACAGAAAAGCCAACATAAAATAACTGAAGCAGTATTTTAAAAAAAGCACACAAATCAACTAAGATTACTGACACCCACAATCAGTTCAAGCTAGTAGGGCTCTAGGAAGCAGTTTTTGCAGTTTTGGGCAATTCATAGAGAAACGGAGTTAAGTATAACTCTAAGGTGCACTCAATTGAATGGGGGCTTATAAACCCACTTTGCAAGGTTGTTTAGAGGAACACAAGGAGAGGAGCATTATGTATTCTGGTTTTGCTCTTGAATTTTCTTTTGAAAAATAAAGTTATAAATATAAGCTATTTTTTTAATCCTTATGAACTTCTCAGATTTCCCCCCTTTTTCTGGTTTGTTCTTTATTTTTGCAAGGCAAGATGGCCACTGTATATGTATCCCATGCGGAATGAGAATAGATGACACACAGTAGACCCTCTCTAGATATTTGCATTATATAGGCAAATTCAACTTTGGCAAGGTGTTGCCTGATGCATCCTGGCTACCCTTGAAAGGTACCTAGAACCAGTGCAACAAGCATAAAATAAGTATTATTCTCCATTGGCAATAATCTGGCCGCCATTTTCTGTAGCAGTTGCAGCTTCCAAGTCCTTTCTAAAGGTAGAGAATTCCCACAGAGAATACAATACTAGCTGAGTTGTAACCTATTACATTCAAGAGAGCATCTGGCTGAGATAAGCTTACAATTTCCCTCTTTTTCAAAGATTCTCCTCTTAATTTATACTAGTAGTAATGAAGTAAAAAGAATAATATGTCAGTGCAATTAAAGGACTAGTTCAAGAAAGGGCTAGGCAAAGACAGAAACTGTACCTAATTTGAAAGAAACAGGAAACTGAGGGGACATTAATAAATTAGTTTGGATCAAATCACAAATCATTTGCCAAATGTAAAATTAAGTTCTGCTAAAATAAACAGAATTTATTTTTATTTCTTCTCTTTTGAACAATACTTTTTTTTTTGTCCCTATTCTTCTTACTGCTATGCTGTCTCACAGGCATCCTCACCTGCGTCAATGGAACTGATTGCCATTTTGAAGACGTCCTGGGAAGCAGAACAGCCTAACTAGGGAGGAACATTGTGTAGAGTTCAACAGAGCATTTGCAACATCAAGGCAAGACTTCCCAGACAATAATTGCCCAGCATGTTACTGCATGTCTCGAGGGTCCAATTATTAAGTAGCCCTTGGGCTGCATCTTCCATAAGTTTTTGTTCTGCATCGCTTTCTGCCGAGGAAATACTTCCTATGGATGAACCATTAGTGTCTCTTAGACCATGGAAATGTCTTCAGTTGAGATTTTGCTGGACCGCATTGCACTTACTGGGGACAAATGTTTTCCCCCATCTGTCTCCATCTTTAGACATTTCAATAGAAAAGATTTTGCCAATTAAAGTAAACAATCCTATTCTCAGCACCCTGTGTAAAACTATGAGAAGAATGAGAAGACATGTGATTGCAGGATCCTTCTATAGATTCCTTTTGTGAGGAGTTTAATTTTTAATCACTTGGCTATGTGTCTCAGATAGATAAAAAACAAAGCTGATAATTAAGTCTGTACAGAATATATGGCCATGCTACAACTGCCTGAAATAGAAGCCCTTTCTGTATCAGCACATCAGAAACAAACATTTTA